ATAATTCATGTGTAACATATATACATAACATATATAATGCATGTATAACATATAATACATATATAATATATATAATACATGTGTAACATATACATAACATATATAATGCATGTATAACATATAATACATAAATACATAACATAATATGTACACAATACATATATAATACATAACAATAATGTATAAATAGAATATATAAAAACATAATATATATAGTGATATATATATATTATATATTATTATATTTAGATATATTATTATGTATTATGTGTTTTATATATGTAATATACATAACATATACATATGTAATATACATAACATATATGTAATATATAAAATATATAAAACATATGTAAAACCTATATGACATATATAACATATAAGTTCTACTGAGTTATTAAAATCACTGCAGTCCAATATTGAAGATATAATTACTCATAAGGTTTCACACTGCTGTAGCCAGGAGGTTCTGTGTGATCACCTTCACGCTGCATTACTTGAAGTCAGCAACTCTAAAACGCCCTCACAAATATTAATATGTGCCCAATATTAAAATTTGCTTAATATTAATATTTTTGGGCGTGTTTTCCTGCTGTTAACTCACTGCTGAAACCTTTGAGGTCCTCGGGGAGTGTCCAAATACCGCGCGGATGAGGGTCCCAAATCTGATTTATTCCTCACAGCCTGTGGTGATCCTGCTTTTCCAGGAGACTCCAGTTCTCCAGCGTTTTCAGAGCTGGAAAATTCGGCAGCTTTCATCCCCTTTTCACAGCAATTCCAACTGAAACCACGCTCTGCACAAGCACTGGGGGCATTTTACATGTTATTTTGGGAGGAGGGTGTAGCTCCTACTGTTTCTAGTCAATATTATTGGGAGCACAGTTTCTGCTGGATGGAAACACAGAAAAATGCCACATTTTTAATTTAAACTATTTTTCCCATCCTTTCCCTGATTTTAGGTGGACTGTGAGCCCTTCAGAATAGGCTGTCTTTTTTTTTTTTTTGTTCTGTAACATGCTGTTCTCAAACTAGTGGAAATAATTCATGCCTAAATTCTTTTTGTGGATTTGTGTCTGGATTTCCTCTCTTTCCCCCTGTCCTGGAATTTTGCTGTCTGCTCCTATCACTAAAATAAGAGTTTGTACTTTAGTGCTGTGCTGCCAGAACACTGGAAATGTTTGGGCTTTCTTTTTATTTTTATTTTATTTTTTCCTGCTTGAGATTTTTGATCTTTCCAGTTTTTTGAGGGGAAAAAAAAAAAGGGAAATAGATATAAAAGCTTCATGTCTCGTGTTTATTTATGTTTTTATTCTCAAGTTTTGCTTCCTCCAGGCAGCTGAAGGAAGACAGTGGCAGTCTGGGAACGTCATCACAGCTCTGTGGAGAGAAACTGGAGGGGGGATAACAATAAAGCAAACAAAGACTGAAATTTTTAGGGAGAGGTGACCTAATTTCCTATTTATTTCTGTGTCAGAAAAGCTGTGTGGAATAAAGTTAATATCTGGGGGAGGTCATGTGCTGTGTGGCACTCACAGTGTATTTTAGCAGTAGTTTAATTGTTCAGGGTGAACAACTTATTTTTAAGTTTAATTTGGATGACTTAAATAAATGCATGTTGCAGGGCAGCTTTAGTGTTTTTGGGGTTTTATGTGTATCTTTTTTTTTAAATTTGGTTGGAATTTAGCACTCTGCTCCCTCTTTTTTTCTAGTCTCAAGACTGTAATAGTACTTGCCTGATGATGGGCTACACTTCCCAGCAATTGAACCATATTATAACTATCATATTAATATAATAATTATTGTGTTGATTTCCTTGAAAAAGATGAAAATGGCTCTGTTTGCCATTTCCATTGTCTCTGGATTTTGTTATCTACTTAAATTATGTTCATTCTTTTTGTAGCACTAAAAACAGGGGGATGTCAGGGGATGATCAGGATTTATCATCTGAGTTAAGGTAAAGAATTGTGGAAAAACGACGACTTTATTAAGGAAAAAAATGTTTAACAGGTGATAAAATGTAACTGCTGACGAGATGCTTGAAAGTGGGGAGAAGGCAAGTTGCTTTAGCACGAAAAAAGGCCTTTAATCAAACAACCTTTATGTTTAATTCTTGTTACAGAAAGCAGAGGGTTTGATTTCTCATCGATGGTTACACACTGGAGTGAGCCAAGGGATACCTTCAGTGGGGAGAGAGGAGCAGAAGTGGCAGGAGTGTCACCACCAACAAAAAAACATTAATTCCAGGGAATTATTGGAGATGCCAAAACCCCAGAGATGCAGGAGGTGATCAGCTTGTCATGAGAGTCTTGTACTGTTAAATATGATGTGTTTATACATATATTGTATATTATATGTATATTGTATTGATTAAAATTTCCTGACTGGCTTGTGCTTTCTGATCATAACTTAAATGGTTTTGGAAGTATCAAAATATACAGTGTATATATATATATATATATATATAATTTTTATATATATATATATGCATATATGCATGTATATGTATACATGTATATAGACACACACATATGTATATTAGTGTATATATACACTATATTATATCATATAATATATATTATATTTATAATATATAATATATCATATATATATTATAATCATATATTATAGAGTATGTTAAATATAACACAATTGCATTACCACATTATTAATTAATGTATTAACTAGCAAATTCATTTCTAAATTAAAATACATTAATTATTAATGTAGTGATATGTAACAGGAATGTATTTTATATATTTTATAAATATAAAACATATAAATATATTTATACAAAGTATAAAAAGAGATATTAATATAATAGATATTATAGAAATATAAAATATATCAATACAAATATATTTATATATTATAAAAATATGAAACACACCCATATAAATATATTTACATAAAATATAAATATATGAAAAATATAAATAATATATATTGCAGAATATATATAAAATATAAATAATATATATTCTAATATATGTAGAATATATATAAAATATAAATAATATATATTCTAATATATATATTAGAATATATATAATAAAATTTAATATATAAATATATGTGCATTACATATAATTTTTATATATTATTTAAATAGATAAATAATATAGAAATATATGGAACCATAAATATATAAATAATATTTATATATTATATAGAAAAATAAAAATAATATATAAAATATAAAAATAATGTATAAAATATAAAAATAATATATAAAATGTAATATAATATATAAAATATAAAAATAATGTATAAAATATAAAAATAATATATAAAATATAAAATATTATATAAAATATAAAATAGGAAATATAAAAATTTATATATTATATAGAAAAATAAAAATAATATATAAAATATAATATAATATATAAAATATAAAAATAATGTATAAAATATAAAAATAATATATAAAATATAAAATATTATATAAAATATAAAATAGGAAATATAAAAATTTATATATTATATAG